TGCCCAGGCAGAATAGTGGGAGTGCAGTGCTCCTTCTTCGAGCATACGGTCGATCTCTGCATCGGAAGCCGTGATGTTGGCGTGCGGCACGGGGCGTCTCTCCTTGAAGAGTGGAGGAACATTGGACTTCAACTGGAGCGTCACCTTGGTCCTTGTGCATCGTCCCAGTTGAAGGCTGACTACGACGATTTCTGAATACATCGGCGTAGTCGGCCTTCAACTTGGCGACGATCTCCTCTCGGCAGGCGGCGGCAGGATCAGCAAGGATGGTCACACCAACTGATGTACTTTTGAAGTGGTTTCATGTCAAGATTTTCGGTGACGTGCTGTCCATGATGCTGCCTTCCATCGGAACCCTTCAACGTCATGTCACCACGACGAGTCACTTTGTTAGAATCCTTGTCCTATTGGCGGCACTGACGATTGCGTTGTATTTTTGTAGCTGCGGCCTTCCGATTTTCCTCCAGCTCGACCTTGAGATCAGAGTGATCATGGCGCCAGTGTCGAGTAGAAAATTCAGAGAACGTCCATTCACTTCGACTTCCAGGTGTGGTTGGGCGTTCTTGCGTAGAGCGGCCTCAATGCTTCTGATCTGGTAGCTCCTTGCACCGCGACGTCTGGTCTGAGAACGTGACGGTGACCTTGATTCCTGATTTCCAGATCGTGGTGAATGAGAGCGCGTAATATCTTCTTTGTTCTTCCGCATCAAATTTGGCTTGGAAGGTACTTCTTCTCTTCTTCTTGACTACACAATTGACCGTAGTAGCACCAGCACCGGCAGCATTTTCCAGCATATTGGCGTCTTCTTTGTAAGACTTGATTAGCTGGCACTCGGCGATGAGATCCTTGATCGAGACGTTATCATCTTGATCAAAATTCCTCAACAGGCGTGTTCTGTAGTCTGCTAATTAATTTGCATCAGAACATCGGGATCGCACAAGGGTTCATGTTGAAGTCCTGGTGATCGTGATGAAATTGGAAGCACTCAAATCGCCGGCGAAACAGCGTTTTGACAGATCCGAATAGACGATCCATGGTCCGAAACAGCTTCCTCCCATGACAGGTCCGACGGCGACTTTGGTGCAATGGAGCCGCAGAACAGCTGGTGGCAGTCTTCAACACACATCCACATCCATCCATCCAAATCCATCCATGCAACACACATCCAAGGATGAACACATCCTTGGATCGTTTGTACCACACATCGAAGGTTTTCCCGTTCTCCGCATCGAAGTTGAACTTGTCGATTCGTCGGCACATGGAGTCGAAAATGCTGTGTTTTGCAGTAGCTGGGCACGCCTCGACCATTCGCTGCTTCCATCTTCTCCGGCATCCGCAGGAAGAAATCGGCAATCTCCCTGTGCTGCTGCTGCTGCACAAGCTCGATAGCCTTGTCTCTTGGACGTTCCATCCGGCGTTCCATCAGCGCGAGAATATCAATCCAGCTTGTCCATGAGTCCCTGATCTGATCGCCAGTTGCTGAATCCGGAAGCAGTTGGCAGAATTAGCAGTGAAAAAATGTTTATTAGTTGAACAAACCAAAATAAACAGCAGGGCTTTTATAGCCCCCATGAGATACTGTTTGGGCCTGAAAACCAGACGACTTGCCTTAGGCATGACTGGCCAACCGCCCCACGCTAGCCAATAATGACCACCATCGCCTTGATCTATCCAACACCTCTTCCCCTCAATTACCCGCCATAGCGGTAGGCGTAAAGCCTAGCTGAGACAAATACCCCATTCCATCCCCGTAAAGGCTGTAGTCCAAGGCTGTTTCTGATGTAGACGAGTTTGGATGGCGCTCCTGGCTCTAAATGCACACCCACGCTAATTGGAATGGGGGAACTAATTTGAGGGCACTTTTGGAGCAACTATGAATGAGAAAACAGATACAAGCTAAACAACAAAAGATAGTGCACAGACTATGATTATAACATATCAGTTTTGCTGACACACACCACTGCGCGCCTGATGTGATAAAGCAACGCGAAGTAATTTACTCTTGTGACGCCAAGTTCGACTCTCAATGAACCCCGGCATTGCACTTATAATTGTTTCTTCTTATTGAACTGTACACAAGGTTTCCAAGAATCCTTATGAAGGTGGCTGACGTTTCGGTGAGCCTGAAAGGGTGGAAATCAATTTATGAACTATCCGGACCAATTATCTTACTCCCTCGCAGAGACCTTCGACCCCATCCTAGCCATACAACAATCAGGAGAGAAAATTACCGTACCTGCCAGATCCACTAGGTCAGCTACGAGTAGCACAGTCCAGGGAGCTTTCGAACCGATCGCATTCAGGTTTCCGTGGGGAACGATAGCCTTATATACGGGGTTAACTCCCGCGTAATTGACAGACATTCTCCCTCCGGTTCATTTTTGGATCCCTGACCTGGATCCAAAATGCCTCGAGGGTTTTGCGTGCGGCAGTTTGAATTTCTTGCTCCAGGACCTCTACCGTGACCCCGAAGTCGACCCCGCCATGGGCATTTACCCCGGGCAACCTAGTGCAGTGGACAGCCGTGACCTAGTTTTCCCGTCAAGCTATTCTTCAGCGGCCTGACTGTCTCACCTATGTACTCGTCGCCGCATGTTTGGCAGGTGATCTTGTAGACCACACCCGTGACCGCGCAGTCTCCCTCCCTGCCGTTCGGGCAGACTACGCAGTCCGGGGTTCCACATGTGCGATCGTAAAGACTGTTTCAAAATAAACGGCCGATTGAGTTGTGTGGAGGAATCTACGATGCCAACAGAGTTGTTATACCGATCAGGCTACCGTAGATTGAGCAGCCAGTGATGTAGAGCAATCGGTCGCGTCGGGTTCTAGGGCCACCTTCTGGGAAAATTCCACCTTTCCAACAACGCGCGCTCCGCTTTGGAAATGGGTCCAGTTTTCTCACCATCACAGTCCATTTCCACATTCGTGATGCGCAAGGTGGTTTGTAGCCTACATGAGCTCCAGGACCGCCTTCGTTATAAGGCTACGGTTGAAAGGGAGGATTTAGCATCAAATTCATCAAGCCTGCGCTTAACATACCCTTCCCAAACCCGTACTTCAAACAGCAAAATGCCGATATTACCCCAATTACCGTATTCAGGTAATCTGCGAACGAATTCAGTTCAGCAGGCGCGGTACTCACAGCCCGTCCAATCTGTCAGATGCTCAAGTGCGTGGTCTGAACAGCTTCGCGAACTTGGTCAAGTCCCACACTATCAGACTCTCTGTTAGTGACAAGGGAGGGGAGTTCGTTGTCATCCCTTGCCAACTCGACCGTGAGATAACGGAGCGGCATCTCGGGGACTCCTCTCTCTACCGACTATCCTCAGCCAAGAATTTCAGTCACAGTTCCGAAAGCTGAATCGTGTGTGGATGGCGGTAGCAAAATCAGCGGGACTTGACCCTCTCCTAACAGCTCGTCTAAAACTTGATGCACCTTCTTGTCCCGTGCTGTACCTCCTCATCAAAACGCATAAGTTTGGGGCAGCGGAAGACCTGACCTCGATCAGCACCTTCGTCGGTTAAAGTCAGGCAATTATCAGTTGCGTGGTGACCGACGGCGAGGGACCGACTGACAGGATTACCTGGTTCATAACCAAATTTTGGCTCAGCTGCGTAGACCATCGCAGCCTTCCAAACACCCAGATGTTCCTGAACCATCTCAGCAGAGTGCATTCGGACAGTACCTGCGTCATGGAGTCGTTTGACGTGGAAGCCCTCTATACCAACGTCACCAATTCATCTGCTATGGAGGCCGTTTCCGAGCTTCTTACGCAACATCGTGATGTGTTTAAATCTTTAGGTGGTCAGGAACGTACTACGCGCAGACTAGAGGCTTAGCAATGGGACAACGGCTGGCACCTACACTGGCCATTGCTTTTATGGCCAGGATAGAAACGCCAGGTATTGGAACGACTCCCCTTGCTTTATTGTCGATACATCGACGATTGCTTCATAATCTGCTCCTCCCAGTGTGAAATCGACAAATGTTTCGCACTGATGAATGAGCAGTCCGAACACATCAAGTTAATGCGCGAGAAACCCTGCGACAACTGGCTTCCGTTCCTTAACGTTCAGGTCAGAGCTCACCCACTCCAAACTAAGCGAGCAGTTGTCAGGTAATATGTTCCGGACGGCGGCAACTGTTTGTACGAGGGAGGAGGAGAGGAAGGAGTCATTGAGAATGGCACGCGAAATTGCTGGGCTTAACGGCTATAACCGCCCCTCACCTATGCGTAGAATCAGTACGCGCACAATAACCAACAGACCGGGGGGGGGGTGATTCTCTTACGGGAGAACTCCATTTGTAGTCTTCTTTATCTCCGAAGAAGTAAGCACTTCCACAAGGAAGTGCCCGAGGAGACCGGGCCTAGAAAACTCTGTTGGCAACGTGGAGATTCCCCACACAACTTGAAGGCCGTTTGATTCGAAACAGTCCTTACAATCGCGAATGTTGGTACCCGGACCGCGTGTCTGCCCAGAAAGGCAAGGTAGGAGACTGGGCGGTCAGGGTGTGGATCTAAAGTGATCACTGCCAACATGCGGCGACGAGTAATAGGTGAGAGCGTCAGGCGGCTGCAGAAATAGCTTGACGGGAAAACTAGGTGTACGCTGTCCACTGCCTGGTTGCCCGGGGTAAATGGGCCTGAGGGGTGGGATTCGGGTAAGGTCTGGAGTGAGAAATTCAAACTGTCGCAGCGAAAACCTTGAGGCACTTTGGATCCAGGCGCAGGAACCCAAAAATAGAACGCGGAGGGAAAATGTTGTCATTATGCGGGAAGTTCCGTATATAAGGCTATCGTTCCCGCATGAAATATGGGGATAGGTTGAAGTTCGCTGGGCTGTGCTACTTCGTACGCTGACGCTAAAGTGATGCCTGTAGGTAAGGGAATTTTTCACCGATTGTCAACGTATGGGCTGTATGGGTCGAAGGTCTTAGTGAGGGAGGGAGAGATTGGTCGATAGTCATGGATTGGCTTTCGCACCCTTTCAGACTCATGAGAGCGTCAGCATCTTGATAAAGGTTTTCGAATAATCGTGTGCATGAATGAAGAGGCATTATCTTGTGAACCATGTCGATTCGATTTCTAGATTGTGATTAGATACGGAAAATCCAAGAGTAAAGATAAGTGTGGAGACTAGTCAAAACACAAACAAACAAATGTATCGTGCGGTGCTCGCTCTCTGCCACAACATCAAGCTGGGGCTACATACAGATTAACTCTCGACAGCTTGTCCTCACGCTTTCCATGACGTTAGGGTGATCTCTAGCGGTCCACTCAATGTTTAGAGATGAAAGCTCTCAGACGGGCTTCCTTCCGAGTACTTATTTTTTATAATTTATTTTGATTGAGACTGCTCGCCTGATGAGGGAAAAGGGTGTCTACACTTGATTTGTCCGCGTGCTTTGATAAAGTGAACCACGAAAAGCTCACAAGTTGTGGCAATTAGAAATCGAAGGCCCCATCCTTAGCTGGATCGTTCCTATTTAGAAGATAGGCATATATGTGTATTATAGTGGGTGATAGTTTCTCACGGAGTTTCTCTTGTACTAGTGAAGTTCCACAAGCAGGTGTGTACACCCACGACTCACTCACTGGTCAGAATCAAAATATATGCAGACGACATAAAAATATATGGCGTTTATGATAATGATAATCATGACTGCGTGCACCGAGCGCTAACCCAGTCTATATGTAACATTATGGAGTGGGCTGTTGCTTGGGGAATACCTGTGAATTTTTCAAAAACGTTTGTTCTTCATAGAGGCCAGAGTTGTACCGTACACGGTTAACGGCATGCAAATTGCTACTTCTGATGAAGTACGAGACCTTTGTTTCCTTGTCAATTCCAGTTTAGAGTTTTCACATCATGTTGATACCATTGTTCGGAAAGCCTTCACAACCCTTTTCGCCATACTCAGAAATATTCGACAAAATGATTCTTCAATCCTGTTGAAGTTCTATAAAGCTTATGTTGTACCCATACTAGAAGTTCTATAAAGCTTATGTTGTCCCCATACTTGAATATGGTTCGCAAATATGGAGTCCCCACACCAAGAAACTTCAGGCGAAAATTGAGAAGGTCCAGCAAACTTTTACCAGAATTTTGATGTATCGGTGTTATCCACACCCAGGCAGCTCACCCAGTTAGAGAGACTTACCTCTTTTCAACCTTAAATCATTAATGTACAGAAGGGTTTAATGATATTGTGTTCTGTTTCAAGATACTGAAAGGAGAGCTAAGATTGAAACCCAGTAAATACTGGGTGTTCAGACCAACAAATGGCCGCATTTCTTCGCTGTCTTTGCAGTGTCCTAAATTGTACGGAAGGCACCGAGCCCAGGTTTTTAATTCACTATTTTTCCGAGGAGCGAGATGGCTCCAGTCCCTTCCACCAGACCTGCAGAAGGCGCCTAACATCTATGCGTTCAGAAGTAAATTGAAGAAGGTTGACCTAATGAATTTGATAGGCATGCAAGATTTCTAAGAAATTTAAGTTCTGGAGTGGTTTCTTACTTGCGTGTATTTGTGTTGCTGTATTTTTTTTGTTGTCTTCTTTTATT